TTTATTAAGATTTTCTTAAATTTTAACTGAATATCTAATATTATTTTTATATCAGTATATCTGAGAATATCTGAGAATATATAATTCTCAGATATTCGTTAAATTTCAAAAGTTTCAAACTTATAATTTATATATTAATAGTATAAAAATATGGGAGAATGGTGCTGGTTGTTACAGTAAATTTTTGACACTACAGTAGGGATAGAAGAGACTAATTCTATTATCAATAGTATATATATTTTTGACTTATATTCATTAAAGGTAATATATTATTGTAATAAATAATTCAATAATGTTTGTTTTTCTATTATTCTTATCAAAAATACCTGCATCTTTCATAAGATTTTCTTTTTTAACTTGTATGAACTTATATATGGCAGGATCATTTTAGGTTCTGAGTATAGTGAGGAGGAATATAGTTTTACAAAGATCTTTATTTTTTGTTTATTTTTATGTAATCTGTGCGCAACTTTTCTATTAGATGACTTCGGATTTCTACGTGTAGTACCTTTTCTGAAAGGAAACTGGCGTAGGGAGATACTTTGTGGTAGTAATTTTTTATTTTCTCAAGAGTTTTCACATCGAATTCGGCAAAAAACCGAAAAAAAGGTTTCGGGAAAATTTACAAAATGTAATAAATATTACGATTTTTTTGCTGTTAGCAACTTTTCTTTCAGCAATTTTGCTCCAAATTTTAATAATAGCAATGTTTCTAAAAGAAAATTTCACTAGCTAGGTACTTTAAAATGATCTGAAATTTAAAAAACCGAAAAAAAAAACGGAAAAATATTAGAAATGTAGGTATTAGTCAAAATATATTACGGCCTTTTTTTTTCGTGTTTATGAAGAACTTTATGAACAACCAGAAATCTTGCTCCGATGTATAGAATCTAGTCAACCGTTACTAAATTACAGCACAACAATTTCATTATTTTAAATATTTACGGTTATTTTTTCTACAAAAAATATTGCTCTAATTGCAAAATAACAAGAGATCTTTTTCGTTGAATTTTTAATCTAGTTGGTGACCAAGCACGTCGTTTCTGATTTTTTTTATAATTTTTTAATAATTGAGGAAAACCAAAAAATACGTAGAAAGTTTTTGAAAATGTACGAATAAATTTCTTTTATTAATTTCAATTTCGTTTCTTTCTTGTACTTCAATTAAAAATAATCGAACAAGTATGAAATTTTGACAGAATACTTATATTTGATTTTTCTAAAAGTGGCGAAATGTTCAAAATATTTAAGCCATTTTTGATGTACTTATAGACATTTTAATATTTTGAGTTTTTTAGGTAATTTTTATTTGGTAGGTACTCTGTGTATTATAAATATTTCTCATTATAAGTCATACTTAGTAATCAAAAGAGTTTTAAAATCAAATTTTGATGAACATCGTAAATATTACGGCTTTTTAAAATGTTAATAACTGAATTTCGTATTTTTTTTTCTTAGCATTAGTTTGTTGTTAGTTACGAGTATAAATAAAATAACTTTATTTTCCTTTATGCTTCACCTTCCCAACTACCTATCTATAACAGTATCAGCTCTTTTTAGATTCTGAGCGGAGAGAAGAATGTATTGGTTTTGTAATGTTTTTTTTTCTCGGGATAACTTATCTACCATAAACTTTGCTTTGATGTCAACCTATCTCGTTATTTTTTGATTTTCCTAAGAGTTGAGAAAACGGAGAAGAAGCGGAAAGATATATGAAATATAGGTATTAATTAAAATATATTACGGCCTTCTTTTTTCGTGTTTATGAAGAATTTTTCAACTAGAAATCTTGCTTCGATTTACAATAACAGCACTATTTGTAAAAGAAAATCTGACTAGGGGAAGTACTTCAGGGAGGTCATTTTTTGATTTTCTTAGGAGTTTGCCCAATAAATTGGAAAAACCGTGAATAAACATAAAAAAACCACGTAAAAAATGTAGGAAAATGGGAAAATAAGTACTATATTAAAAAAATACTATTAAAGAAAATGTTGAATGCATAAGTATATAATTATTTTATCATATTATTACATATACATATTACGTATACATTACATATTATTGACATAGCAACACTATCAACCGAATTTCGCTTAGAATCATTTTTTGTTAGCAATGGTTAATTGTTGCGTACAGATATAAATTAAATTTCCATCTGTATCCTACCTTTCCAACTTCTCACTTATAATAGTAGCTGCACCTGTCCTTATTATCCTATAACAGTTTTTTAATATTATAAAGTAGTGTGTAATCTTCAGTTTTTTCGGGAGCTTTAAAACAGAAAGGAGCATCTTGGCCTCTCAACCATCGATATATGCGAATATTATATACAGATGATCAACATAATGAAAGATACTCACTATCGCAAAAAGTATTAGCTTTTTCCGAAATTGTGTGTTTTAAAAAATGTTCACCAATTTGTATGTTAAACGTTATAATTAAAATTCTGAGTTTGATCGCATAAATTCACACTAATTAGGCACTAAATTTTGGTAAATATCTTGCTAAATCTAGGAAAATCTAGGAAATAATATATAATAAAATATATACTATTATAATATATGTATCAAAAATAAATGGTTCATTTTTATTATATTTGTATTGATTTACAATCAAAGACTTTGCCATTTGTACATCATTTTAAATTTTAGCAAATAGGTTAATTAATGACGCTACTGATAAAGCCAATACAATATAGTATCACCATCTGTCTGTATAAATTATACGACCCCCAATATTATGGTACTAACCATTGTTATTTCATTGATTGCAATGATTTGTAATCGAAACCTCAGCATTCGTAGACCACTTCAAACTTAAAAATGTAGATAACTGAGAAACCATATAAGTTAATAAGTTTTGCTGAAGATTAAAATATATAACAACGAACACAGGAAAAAAAAGATTAATAATATTATGATTCTGTCATACATTAATTAGTATTTCACAAATAAATAATTGTTAAGTAAATTTATGTTTCATCGTCCTTCTATAGTTATGTTGTACTAGTACTAATATGAAGTTTATGTAATATGAAGATATTAAATCAAGTATTGATATTATTTGTTTCATCATTTTAGATTCTGAGTGAAGCAAAGAAGCTTATGGTTTTACAAAGATGTTTATTTTATTTTTATTTTTTTTCTGTGGATAACTTTTTTACCAGCAATTTTACTCCAACATTTAATGATAGCCATGTTTCTGAAAGGAATTTTACTGAGGTGGTACTTTATATAGATCGTTTTCGGTTTTGTCCATAGTTTTCTCAACAAATGTAAAAAATAGAAAAAAAACGGGAAAATGTAAAAAATGTAGGTATTAGTTAAAAATATTATGGCCTTTTTTCTAATGGAAAACATTTCTACCAGCAATTTTGCTACAACATTTTATGATTTTTCTGTAATTTTTCTGAAAGGAAAGTTCACTGGGAAAGTACTTTAAAGAAGTCGTTTGTCCATTTTTCCAGGAGTTTTATCATCAAATATGAAAAACTGGGAAAACTGAGAAAATCTGTACAACATTAAACAAATATTATTAAAGAAAAAATATAAAGTCTATTTAATTATTTTACTATAATATGGCATATATATTGTTGACAAAGCAATAAATCATCTTAACTTCGTTCAGAATCGTTTTTTCGTAAGTATTGGTTAATATCGTTGCTTGCATGTATACATTAAATTAGATTTAACAATGGCTGCATCAGTTCACATTATCCTATGATGTCTTTTTAAATTTAAATTTTATTCCATGCGATGCATTCATTCATTTATTTATTTTATATTTCTATACATAAATTTTTCATTTATGTTTTTATTTACTTTATGTATATTTTATTTATATAATTTTATTAAAATAAAATCTGAGCCTATAGTTATGTTTATTTTAAATTTAATTAGTTGCTAGACCACAAGGATGTGATTTTCAAATTCCGAAAACTTATTTACAAATATTTACAAATGAAGATTTTTAATTTATAATCGGTCCAATTTGATTTGATCGATATGGAAGGTAACTTTACACATGTATGTTGATCATCCTTAGTATGTAGGTAGAAAATAAATATGGACATTGACAAACTTACCAACTGCGACGGAAAGAGACGCAGCCGATTTTTCGATGTCAGGATCGCTGATCAACAAGGCGGTAAATCCATTCTTCAATACCAATCCGCGATAGATCCTAGAATCACCAGTGGATTTTTCGATATCGTCGATTCGACGTTCGACTTTGTCAGACGTAGCTTGCAGATGATCAAAAGAACTGTAAGAACGCCTGTATTTGTACATTATGGGATGGTGTTGGGTGTGCGATGGTGACACCCTGGTGCTCTGTACATTGTTAAGAACGGCTAATAAGAGCACAGAGTGCAACAAAAACACAAACGTCTTCAGACAGTGCATGATTAACAATGCCAGCATTGCCGCAAGCTGAGTACGAATACACGAGATAGCCGTTGTGCCGCTTGACGAAATAATAAAGAAATATATAAACCACACGTAATGTGATAGTAAAACAACTGTATATGTGGCCTACATTATGTTTCTGTGTAAACAATTAAAAAATCTAAATAAAAATTAGTTAAAAAACATACACATACGGAAAAAAATAAAATAATTGTAAAATTTAGCATACAAATGTATACCTATGTATATTGTATAGGTATAATACTTATTCTTAAATGTTTTCTTCTTGAGTAATACCTGATAAGTCGAGTAATAACTGTCCTATTTCAATGGTAGATATATACCCACCCATTAAACGTTTACAAGTTTTAATGAGTTTTAAGGTATAATCTCTTTCTCCCTATCGTACTGCTACCGATAAATAAAAGCCAGTCTATTACGGGTATTTTATGTATTGTCATAATTTTCTACAACTTATGATGAACCCTTGTGTTAAATTTTTGAACATGTATGCTGTATCGAAAAGATTGTATTTACATCAATCGGAAAATAGTATTCGGCCGAATTATTCTGTTATATAATTACGATTATCATCAACATTTGAACTTAAAACTGCTTCGAAAAAACAAGTTTCGATTATCATACGGCGTAAAATAAGAAAAACAACTAAGAAGGTTATAAAAAACAATTAAATAAATAATACACAAATTTACCCATGGGTATAATACAAAATACACACAAAATGTGTATTATCAATTACAGAATTCGGTGAGGAGGGTTCGCGGGCGGATAAGACTTCGGTAGGATTTGGTACACGTTTTAGAATTTTAACAGGTGAGTTTTTTTCGGCCAAATCGGGTTGTATATTACCGGTACTGTTATTCGGAGAGGTGAGTTTAGATTAGGTAGGTATGTGGACAAATATGTGTTTTAAGATTTTGAGTAGTAGATTTTTGGCAGTAATATCGGGTTGAGCGGTATCGGTAACAGTATCGGGAAGGGGTTAGTAGTACGTGGTTATATTAGGCACATAGCGTACTTGTTTCTTCGCTTTTAAACTAGTGGTTGATGTGCGATCGTAACCGGTGTCAGCACAACAGCCACCTACAGCAAAAGTTGTTGCCATAGTCGGCCGGTCGGCAACTGGTTCGGCGGAAATATATTGAGTTAAAGACGATACAATGATGTAAGTTAGCGGTCATTCTGGATGGTACTCTATGACGGATACTATAATACGATTATAATAACAATACGGTTGATGTTGGTTGATAACGAAAATAATACTGGTCATCAATTTTTTTTGTTTCAGCTACGTCACACCGTGGTTTCGATCGTCATTCGCAGTGACGTGCCCGAGAATTTTTAGCGGGAAAGAACGTGGCCAAAAAAAAAAATTGTAAAATCGTATTATCTGCGCGACTCGACTACGGGAATTATTGGTACTCTAAAAGCTGGATCCTAAAAAAAAAACAATTTATAATCAATACATCAAGTTTAAACTCGTAGTTTGGCTGAAATATATGCGTTTCGATATTAAATTACTACTTATATATTTTTTTTTCATTTACATGCCACCACTTAAGAAGTTTCTGCACGAAGACGACTCAGTGAATGTCTCTGATATTAAATAAATTATTTAATTCATTTAAACCAATTATCAATTGTATTAAATAGTTATTTCCCAAAAGACATTCGTGATGATTTTCAATAGATTGTATATCCTTTCACTGTTTCAGTTGAAGAGTTGAACTCCAATACGGTTTTTGAAACTCAGATTATTGAATTTTCTTATAATAAAACTTATAAAAATAATTTTAAAAATGAAACTATTATTGATTTTTGATGTGCAGTATATAATAAATAACCTGAATTGTCATTAAATGCAATAAAAACAACTATTAATTTTTCCTACTACTTGTTTATGTAAAAAATAATTTTCAACTATGACCAATATTAAAAAATAAACAAAGAAACAGATAGTATGTCACACATGACATCAGCTTATCTGGTATTGTATTCTAATGGGAAATATTATACAGCAACATTCAGAATCACCCATTACACTAAATCTCATTGGAATTATTTTATCATAATATTATATTAATTTTTGTTTTTTGAAATTACTTAAAATAATCTTTATATTATCACCATTTCAATCCGATTTCCTTTTAGAAAAGTTAAAAAGTTGTTACACTTTCCTAACACCAAATGGATTAAACTGAAATTTATGTGTGATATTCAGAGAGTTGAAACTATGATGGAATTCTAAGATTTATTGAATACAATCAAATTACAAATAGTTCAAGATATAAAGACATCATAAAAAGCATTTAAATTTTACCGAGCTAGTGTGGACTACTAGTGAATTTATAATAAGTATGATTCCTTCAAATGATTTGTTTTCAATGAAAATTTAACTAATCATTAATTAATTAATCAATTAATTTAGTGAAAATATTACTCATACATTTGATATTATTTCCAAGCAAAAAATTCAACCGAACTCTGCTTAGAATCGTTTCTTCGTTAGCAATGATTAATTTTTGCGTTCAGGTATATATTAAATTTCCCCTCTACTCCTTTTAAACTTCTCACCCACAGCAGTGGCTATGTGCGATGTATGTTCGTCTTTATTTTTTTTTCTAGCTATAGCTGACGCATAATAACATGTTTTAATTTTTTTTTTATTTGATGTCTATTGTTCTAAAATATTTTCTCATTTTGTGTCCAAAACTTGCTCATCCATTATTTTCAAATAATACATTAAAAAATACATACAATAATGAATTCCTTAATATAGACAAAGTTTGGGGAAATATTTTTTTAAAGTAAAATCACATATGATAAACTCAAAAGAGGACAATATTTTGGCAGGCAATATTGCATTTTTTTTTTTATTCAATTGTGATATGTTAGTCATTTAAAAACGATGGATTAGTCTTTATTTTTAAACGATGTATTCAACGTTATATTTGGAATAATAATTTAGAATAATAGGAAAACCACATCATCTTGCTCTTTGGAATATTGCCCTGTTTTAGTTTTTAAGTAGGTGATTTTACTCTAAAACCGAAAAAAGCAAGAGCTAAACTTAAAATACGTAAAATTTCAATTTCAGTCATTAGTACCAATTAGTTTGTAATATTTTCTTTGTTTTGTTCAAAATCCAATGGTTAATGTAGAAAAATTATCATGGAGAGATTATATATTTTAACGAAAATTGTGGGGAGTTCCCAAAGACTTATTAAACCCAACTAAACTTTCAGGAAACCTATCACGTTGTCAAAACTTCTAGAAAAGTTTTTCTCTTACACTCATATCATTTTGTTTATGCAAATTGTATGTCACAAGGATTTTAATTTGCATCCGTTCCAACCCCCTCTCAAAAAAAAAATATCTTATATCCTATATATCCGTATATCTACTCAGTAAATATAGGTAAAATATATTCGATGGTCCATGATTACGTGTAACACTATTTAAACGCCGTGCGCCGTCCTATACCATCACACAAGCGCATAGTGTTACACTACTCTACCCCTGCCTGAACTAAAAAGTGGAATATTTTATCAATGGATGGACGGAAAATAAAAATTTCAACATCAAAATTGTGTTGAATTTTGTTGTTATATTATATTATATTAATACTCAATCATTCAAATATGAATTGACATTTGACATTCAAAAGTTGACCCACAAATCTCCCCCAAAATGGTACCTAAAAATATCACAGATAATTTAAGATTACATTATTTAATAAAAATATTTCATTATACATTATTTTTTATTTTGTATATTTATAGAAGAAAACTGTTGTAACATAAAATTCTGATCACACTATATTATATTATTATATGTATTTATCATGATTTGATTTTTTCAGAAGAAAGTCTTATAGCCCACAGGTATAAATGGGATTGGTAATGAGTATAGACGGTGTTTCTTCTTAAAATCTGTTATGTCCATTATTATTGTGCTCTAAAAAATAAAATAAAATATTATTCACAGTCTAAACTTCTACACAAATTTTAATTAATACGTACATTGTTTGCTCCCAAACTATTATCTGATTGTGAAAATTGATTATTTTCGTTTGTGATTTTAAGTGAAGATTTTATATGCACAGCCAGTTTGTGCCTTTTGGGCCCAAATTGACTTATTTGATCCTATAAAATTGATATGTAAATGTGAAATATAATGATAATAGATATTACAAATAACATACAGCATAAAACTGAATAATATCCATTTTGTTAATTGACTTCAGTGCTTCACTTTCGATTTCGGCACGATTGAAATTATAGTTTTGTTTATCAATTTCTAACTGATATACAGCTGCTTGTTCCATTGAGCCCTTTGGCTTCTCAAACAATATAACAGCTAAAGAATCCTTATATTTCTCAAATTCTTCATTAGACATATTTTTTAATAAATCCTGTACGAGTATAACCAAACATATTTAAATTCAATATTACAATATAT